GTCTCTTTTCCACCCCCTAGATACTCGGCACGTTTCGCAATCAGTGTTGAAGTTATTAACTATCTTTTGTCCTCCTTCGAACTGATCGATGCTCGTCTCTATGTCGCCTTTGGAGCCTAATTCTTCCTTCACTTGATTGAAGCATGTTCTCGTTGTTAGAATACTCTTTGAAATCGGGTCAACCTTTGCAGGCGGGTCGCAAGACGGCCTTTCGCTACTATGCTCAATCTACTATATGTTGAAATTTGACCATCTGTTTCTACCAGGGCGTGATCAACAAGCTTGTTAATTATGAATTTATTGAACCGATGACACCGGCTCATGCCTTCTTTGGGCGACCACGCGTGCACCTTGTCAGGTCGGACAAACTAGACTCCACGATCGCTGAATCGTCCGCTATTGCCGCTTTGGAGCATGACGTCAAATTCGAATTGGAAATCCTCGACGGGATGTCACGTCAGGGATCTTCTTGGGAGTCTGTTAAGAGGAACGTCAGCAGAATTATGTAGAGCTTGGAGGTGAGAGCCCCACGTACCAGCGTCACCAAGTTCGATTCGTTTGTCCCCTGTTAGTATACGTCAAGAGAGATCTTCGCTTGGTCGAGGGCGGTAGTTGGTGTACAATTATCATCTTTTCAACTGGTAGCTTGCTTCTTCCCTAACACTGAAAGCGATAATCCGCTCGTTGTGTGGTATTCATGTCACGCTCAACTTTCCACCTCGACCTTTTTCAGGCGAGGAAAATCGGTGTGGACAACGTCGTTGGAAGCAACCGTAGCTTGGTTACATGATAGAAGCACCTTTCTAATCGAGGACCTCACATGCGGAGATGTTGGCGCCAAAGCCAAAAGCCTAAACGAGCTCATTATGTGACTGTCGCAGGCCGAAAGCACTTCCCCGGTAGTGATACCCGGCAAATTCTCAAGGGACAGTCTCTAGTCAATGGGATAAACAGCTCAGCCGTGTTCCTTCGCGCGTGTTTCTGAATGTAAGTGACAATAACTCCTACTATATCATGGCGAGTTGTGTTGTCCCGCAGGACAGTGAGAGTAGCGACCAAGTCACACTCCTCGCTGGCCTTGGCTCCCTTTGATTCAGTAATCGAACCTTGTCCGGCACAATTAGACGCAGTCACCTTGAACCTGCTATATGAAATGTATGTCTAACAAGCCCTCTGCCCAGGTCCACAACGACAAGAATTGCCCGGGGTCTCAGAATGACGATCAAGTCCCTGGGGCATAAATCAACCAGTCAGCATCAAGTATGTGGTATCATTATGGTAACTGGAGAACCTTACTGACTCAAGGTCTCAAACAGCTCCCCACACCGCGAGTCAGGTCTACACCGACAAAGTTGCTGTCGCATTGAGTGCGTCTCAAACGGTCATCTCCGATCTTTGCGACAAGGCAACCAAGACTGGACTGACCCATGTCTTACATGCCTTCTTCGAGATAAGGAGTCTACTTCAAGACATCGGTCTTGGAAAAGTAATGTCAATAGAGCAAGCCCTCTGACAGGGTCCTACACATCGGCGCATCGACACCATCATACTCTGTGATTAGGCGGGCGTAAGCCATCTTTCTACCAATCACATTCCCACAATACCTGTGCTCGTTCGCGGACATTAGTTATCGAACCATGTGCGAATCGACGTCTTCCTGTCGTTGTTAGCCACCCGGAAGTTACTATACATTTACGACTTTGGAAGCCATGAGGACAGTGGCCACGTCCCAGACTCTGTTGACGCCAAAGCAGCCTTCACAACCATCCACGAACGTTATAATGGCCATCACTTTCCTTGTGATCTGCTCGACTTATGTAGAGTCAAGGATAACATGATACCAGGCTTTATCGTTAACAAACTGCATTAGGCCGCCATTCTCACTGCCAGGGAGCAGAACGAAAAGGGCGTTGAGCCGCAGACTGATTTGGAGGAATCAACGGCTTCTCACTTGCTGACAACAACAGAAGAGCTTACCTCCCACAGGTCGATCGACATAGAGTGTATACGACGACATTGTCTGAAGAGGGTTTGAAGCTGTGGGTATGCTGGCCTAATATGTCTTTAGTTCAGTTAAAAAACAACCAAGTCGCCAATGACTTGCCTTTCCCAGGCCTCGCTGTACACCTGGAGCCAGTAGATATGTTGGTTCAGCCTCCAAACATGCTGCACATGCCAATAACTCTGGAAACCTGTCTCATGTCAGGCACCATGCACTGGCATACCACCCACCTTCACGACATCATACTCTGCACCGGAGCAGCTGTTGAGCAACCAGCAATCACGAACGAGGCTATGTCGCCAAACTTTATGCCGAAGCTGGAAAATTTGCTCTAACTCTGGGATGAGGGTTCCTCTGAAAAGGTAGTTTAAACAGTAATTAATAGTTAACAGGATGTTTTCGCGGCTTATGCCTTTCCAGCATATCTCATCTGAGTACGCTTAACCCCAACACCATCAAGTGGCGGCAGAGAAGGTAAAACACAAGACCATTCCTACCCAGGATCATGGTATAGGACCGATATCACGGTTCAAATGTTACTGAAACTAGACCAGTGCCTCCGACCTTGCGCTTTCAAAGCTACGGCCGTCTAATTAACAGAATTTTAACATTTTAATAAGCTTTCAACTTAATGTTCTAATAGGAACACAGGGAACCTTTCCCGTCATAGAGTCATTCTTGTCGGTGTTTTTCATCTTTTATCAGCCATCAGGAACTGCTCGCTAGTTGACCCGCTGCAAACACGACGCCCAGGATAGTGAACAGCATGCCCATCATGCCGTTCTCTTGATCACCCATGATGGAGGATATCTCAAGGATGTACAGTGCCTTCATATACTGAAAAGTGGCACTTTACTGCTAACTTAAGAGTTCCCCCAACACAACTGGGCCAGGAACGAGCCATGGCTTTACTCATGCTTAGTGATCAGACGAACCTGCCTTCAAATTTCCAATCAAACCGCTCCTGGTTGGAGTGGCCTATGCTTCCTCCACCAATACACCAGCACAACGTGCCTCTTCATTCTGGCTCATTTCCCAAGACTGCCCTCTCGATCGACTCCTCTACTTAAAAGGATCGCCGAACACGATCTCCGATCGATCAGGTATGCAATCGACTAACAATGTCAAATTACTACAAGTCTGATACAGCTTACAAGGCAACAGCGAGCCACGTCTGGCCATAAGTATCCTCAGGTTTTCAATCCGATCGATGGCAAATCTCCTTCTTTCTATGGCCTACAAATCAAACCACCCTACCAGTCTCGAGTATCGTCGACTAGCAATGCTGAAAGGTATAACGACCATGCTGGCAACGTCTACCAAGGGTTGTCCGATTGACAGCTTTCCCGACTCCAGTAAGTACGGCATCAAGACTTCGGGCGCTGCTCCTGGACACCTTCTGGTCTGGCCAACGCTGAAGCAAGACTACTCTTCGCGGTGTCGTCAGCACTCAAGTTTGCCTCTACACTCCTGGCACCTCCCTCGCCATCCAACCTTCCATTAACGCTGACACATCCTCTCCGGTTGGTAGGGTATAAGATTGGCCACTACGAATCTGCAGCCTAATTGGCCGACTTGTTCCAACCCTACGACTTCGATACCCTCAACAGAGGGGCCAGTAGCAAGTTCACAGCCATTTCAAGAACGAATTCTACTCCTCCAAGATGCAAGAGCCTTTCTGGGAAGTTGTCGTCGATTACAAAAGGTGTCTTCGATAAGGGGTATAAGGCCTTCATTGCGTCAAAAAGCCCTGTTGATAAGGATTGATGATCTGGTCGAGACTTTATCCTTGAGAAAGCATAGCTTGAATAATACTCAACCGTGAATGCAAAGTAAATAACTACAGGAAAGGTGATTAGTCAAACTCTAGATAATTAAGCAAGTTCATAAGCCAAAACTTACATAGACAGCTCACTGGCTATAATTGAATTCTGGGTCAAGAGCCAAAGACGTATCGCGACGCTGTATCCTTGGTGGTTCATTTATTGATGACTGCGTGCTGCGCCCGAACCCTTGTGTATTCTTGGGTGTCTGTCTGTTTTGCTAGAAATAATATTTTGCTTCCAACCCTTGAGGGTAAATGGAGTTCTCAATCGAGGGTCGTGGTGTATGAGGCCCATTTATATCTGCTGGAGCTTAGGTGTATAGTGACGTTGACGAAATATACCATTAGCAAAGCGACTCGACCACTCTCTTTCGGGAGAAAGTTACTTACGCTTCCGTTTCGCGAACTTACTCATTGGCTGATAAGGACTTGTCATTTTTCACTGCAGTGTATCTAAAGAGACTTACACGGTTAGAAGAGGCGTATGAAGGCCGCAACCGACGGTGGTGTTGTCGAACTCGATCTCTTCCACTCTCCTAGGATTGTATCCGCAAAGCTCAGACTATTCTCGGAATGAGACCGTCTAATAACATATGGTATAGTATCCGACATGAATGTTATTGTAAGCCTAACGAGCTCGGATGAGGATGTGGTGGAATGATGGGGCATAAAACTTCGAAGAACATTGAGGTGTACTCAATCTGAGGACTTTTAGAATCTCCAAGAAGATCGGCATATATGGCATACGATGACATAAACGGTAAGATGTGACTTGTGTTCAATCGGCTCAACAATTTGGCACTAGACATCTCGTACTCGCATCGGCAGCTTACCCCGGCATTTTAGGAAGAAAAGATTATAGTGACACGGCAAGTCATCGCGTATCGTTATCTGCCCGTCTGTTAGCCCTCGCGTGCCATTGCCGCATTGATGACATGGCCATGATCAGCCGCGACTTTGTTCGTGACGTTGCATGAATTTAGAGAGGGGTGTTAGTAGCCCCATATTTGATGGTTTTTTAGACTGTCTGATTGGACTTCCGAATATGCGTGTTGGTTCAACTGCATGCTCAAACGACTTTGCGACAAGCAATGAGGCATTTAATAACCTCAACTTCTCACAAAATACTGCAGATCGAGTTTGAGAAATATCCTCAACTTGGAAAAATCTATAATGCCTATTTGCAATCTTTGTCACGCAGCTATATGCGACCTTTATCCCAAGGTGGGGGATGTTCACCCCCAGCGGGAAACCACTTTGAGGTATCCTCCTTACGACGCAGACAATAACCAAGCCTGTTGGATATGCATCAGGCACGCCGAGTACTTAGAGGAGTTTCATCATGAAGTCTATCGACTTTGGCTTAAGCATCAATTGCTCGTGACCTTCCAAGCTGAATATGGCTATATGGAAGAAGATAAAGAAGTTCACGCTAATCATAGTCGCTTCGAGGCTCCTGTGCTGACTAGAGGACGTCGTGATCGAAAGATGGAGGTTCATCAACTATTTTTGACTCGGAAACATAAGGGGAGTGACGGTGCTGGATGTCTCATCGAACTGAAATTCTACAAACAAGGAGGTAAGAGCAAGCTGATGAGTTATCGACTATGGCTAAATCTGAGAAATATCAGATATTCCAGAAACAAGATCCTATGTACAGAATACCGTCACAAATGAGATCAATATCCGCCAAATCCAAGATTGGGTCAACAACTGCGAGAGACTTCACTCGGCGTGTCATTCCTACTCTGAAACCCCATGGTATCCCACGCGTCTGTTAGATTTAGGACAAGGTAAAGACACGCTGAATCTCATTATCAGCGAGGAAATGAAACCTATCGGACCATACATGACGTTGAGCCATCGATGGAGTAACTATCAGTACGAGAAGCTCACTTCCGAATCACTTGGTCGCTTTACATGCTCTATAGACATGAAAAGCCTTCCACGTATGTTCCAAGAAGCGATCAATATGACACGGTCACTTGGGATTCGTTATCTTTGGATCGACTCCCTTTGCATCATGCAGGACAAGGCCTGTGGTGACTGGAAAATCGAAGCTTTCAAGATGGGTCAAGTATATGCCAACACATATTTGAACCTGTCAGCCTCATATGCAGTTGACGATGGAGAGAATCCATCAATCTTCTCTCCTGAGCCTTGGAACTGTGTCTCACCCTCAGTCCTCAATCTACCGGACGGAAGGGAATTGAAGAGAAAGTTTCTTATCGATGGGGATCTATGGACAGATGAGGTCGACGCATCGCCATTGATGGGACGTGGGTGGGTGTTCCAGGAGCGATTTCTTTCGCCGCGAGTAGTTCACTTTGGCATGCGACAACTTGCATGGGAATGCGACGGAGGAAGCGCACTTGAAATGTTTCCTACTAGTTTACCACCAGGCTTTGAAGATTTTTTCAAAACTAACGTATGCGTGCCTATTATGCAATCTATGCAAACGACCGATCCTGCAGATTTCACGGTTCGGTGGCGCAAAATTGTCACTAGTTACTCTGTTTGTGACCTCACATTTCATACGGATAAGCTTGTCGCTTTTGCAGAAGTTGCCAAGCTTGTGGAGTCTCGAAGGGGTGATGAGTATCTCGCAGGTATGTGGAAGAGCACCTTGAGAGAGGACCTTGCCTGGTGGCTTTCGCAAGATACTGATAGGAGTATTCTCAACACTGGAGCTGCTCAACGTGCGCCCAGCTGGTCCTGGCTTTCCTTGAACGGCGAGATTTGCTTCTACCCACCACCGTCAGCACACCACCGGCAGGAGTATTTCTGTCATGTGTTGGGAACCCCGACAAGCGAACATGTCGGCTCTTCGGTACTTGTAGCTCGGGGTATACTTGAGTTGAGAGGGAAGGTTTTTCCAATCACATCTCTCGAATGGTTGGAAGGCAATGTGAGGTTTTTTCAGATAGACAATCTTCGATTCGAGACGTCAGAGGGGCCAGAGAGTACGCACTTTGACTACGATAGGACCCGAGCAGAAATTAGCAATCTTTGCTCACAACAAGAGCTTTATATGCTGCCACTATACGCCACTGGAAGACTCTTGATTAGCATTTTGGTCTCAAAACTATTCACCAACCCAGCTTGGCGACGAGTAGGCGCGGTTTGCATTCAGTTTGCAAACATCCCTCCTGAATCTGACAAACCATGCCTAGAAGGCTGGGTTCCTATTCCTCACTCAGATTGGGCTATTCATGGCGATGGGTATAACTTTTACACTCAAATCTCAGAGGCATTCAAAGCAGGAAACCTTGAGACTGTTAGCTTAGTTTAAGATTACAAACTCCGTACTTACCTTTCTAGTGTGTATGGTCTAACTATCTCTCATATCAAATGTTTCCACCCATCTGGCGACAGCAATCGTAACGCCCAAGGCTTGAGCTTGTCATCGAAGCGATCCGAGTCTCGAATTCAATTTAATGCCACATTTGAAAGACTTCACGGCATGGAAGTTCCTTGTCAAGCCGCTCTATGTCACTAACTTTCCGATCGTACCAAATGATATACCTGACCAGGTTCAGATCATGAAACCGACTAAAATATACCCACAAGCTGCGGAGGCCAATGCACCCAGTAATGATGCGCTAACAGGCGAATGACGAGAATTCTATGCCGGTTTGACCCGACCGAGTCACGGTCCAAGTTAAGGGATCTGGTTTTCGGAGTTCGGATGTCACAACCTCGAATAGATACTGGCAGACGTATAAGCAGATGCTGGGTCAAATTGAAATGGTCACAAGGCTTATAAGGTTTGATAATATGTATTTATGCTCGTTAAATACTGCCAGGTATCATTTTTTGTTAAGTTTGGCTCGAATGTACTGCTGGCACTGACTTCTACATCTGGAGCATATTGTTGCATCAATTGCCTATGCACAAATTTGGAGAATCCCTCTATGATTTTGACGCTTGATTACTATCTGCTGAACTGTGTACTCGACTGGAAATGCGCGATTGAAGGCCACGTCTGTTTCTCAAACTTTTTTCGTGGTCACCAATAAGTACGGGTGCTCGGGAAACTCATTTTCGCTGTTTGAACAAAATACATACTCCGAAATACCTGACTGTGCATTGTGACATTGAACAAAGCCGCCTATTGTGATTCTAATATGATGATTAGATAACAGCGTATGGAAAACAAGTTGTTTATAGCAAGACAGTCATTACGCCGCTTGGAGTAGACAGCTTGGCTCGCATACCGGCTGCGCAAGTCCTGCAGGGTATGTGCATGGATGGCACGTGGACTTGTCTTATCGTTCTTATATCTCGAGGTGAACCGTGGGCTTGCCTGAGGCTGCGTCCCGCTCCCTCTTTTAGCCAGGCCCTGCCATGGCCCTAGTTTCTCCTTCATCATCACACGCCTCTTGAATATGTGCACTCTTCCCAGGCCTTCCACACTGGGCTTTCAATCCACCTACGTCACTCCTTTCTAAACCTCAATCCTTTATATGATTCTTCATCGTTTCTCTCGTACAAGGTAGCGATACCTTCTTTTCTGCCGATCTGCTTCCCTTCGACAGTCACCTAATAGCTGCCACTTCACCAACTTCAGATGAACCGATTCTGATGACGACCAAAGCACCCCCCCGCACTGGCACTCCTTCTGTTTCGCCGGCTCCCGCAAGCAGCGACCCTAAATGTGACCCTACGATGGGCAATGTGACATCACAAGAGTTCTCCGGCTCTCTCACCGCATCCGAGATGGGCAAAGCTACTAAGGCAAAGAGAATAAAAGGCCAATACCCATAGGAGACGGTCCCTGACGCTTAATTTGGTTCTCGGTCCCTGAAAACCTTTCAAGCCTTCGCAGAACTAGTTGGGAAATGGTCTATTAAGGACGACTTGGAGTCTGTCACGCTTAGCCATATTCTCGTTCTTCTTCTCAAGCAAATGCAGATGCGTGCCCTAAGCTGCAGAGGCATCCCGAGATCCAAGGATTGTGACGCGGTTCGTCTGCAACTCCTCTCCCTCCGCAAACGTGCCGATAGTAAGCGTCCTTCGCATTATTACGGGGAGTCACCGTCGTCAAAGCGTGCCAGAAGCGTACCTTGCAACATAATCTTGACACCGACTTCAAACTTTGCAGCAATCCCGGCCCGAGTAATATGGAGACTTGTCCTTCTATAACGGAACAATTACTCAGCCCAGGGCTCCCGAGTTGAAAGAATCCCAGACTGCTCTAAAAACGTTGCGTTACGATCAGCTTATAGTCCTGAAGCTTCCTCTTCCTGGCAATTAGCGGTCTACTAAAAAAGGTCCTTACATTTCCTCACGCATAAGGTCCTCATCCTCCCGAACCACTACCAGCGCAGACACTTCTCACGTTGTCCTGACTCCCAACGATCTCAAAGCCCAAACGAGGTCGCTATTCACGAGCGCTATAAATCATCGACACATCGCCATTTCACAGCATCCCACTTCTGAAACCGCATGGGAACTTTCCAAACTTACAATCCTCCAGTCTCTGCCGTTCAAACCATGCAGAGCACTTATAGAGAGGTTGACCCGCACTGCACTGACTGTCTATGCTGCACACGCTGTCTCAACCGAATTGTCGGCAAATCCGTCTGACTCCGGTTTGCCTTCATGACTCACACTTAATATCATCGAACCACAGGCTCAATTTCAGTCTCCGTTTCCGTCCGTGAAGAAAACCTATACACCTGACTTCCCCGAGCGAGACTCTCCCCAGAACCGTTGTAGGTCGTCTGGCTGACATGGCCACATCAAACCAAGTCATTTCTTGTTGGTATATTGTGCTATTGCTGGCATTCCGTAGCTCGCACCTGACACCAAGTATTGTCATCAGATAGTTGGAAATCTTTACCAAACACAAATAATTGCCTCAGAGCACCCCACAACCCGTGTAGCTGATTTTCGTTGGGTACTGAATGTGCAACGCGTGTGCATCGTTTGGTAAACCTTGAAGCTCAACTCAGCGTCCTTGGTCTTGCCACCCCTATTACGGGCAGTAAGACACGGTTCCTGACTCATAACCTGACCACACCTGAGCCTTGTTTTAGAGGTGGCCTAGCCAGTATTGAAACCCATAGTTACCGAGTCCGATTATCAGTGCAGCGCTTTGACCTTGGTGGTACGATATTGTGCGCCAACATGTTCTAGATGCAATATGTTTATAGCCTTGTTCCTCTAAGTAGACAGGGACAGTGGCTAGTACGTAGAAACTTATTGCTGAAACAAGGATGGGCGCGAAGTGTTGACACGAAAATGGTAGTTTGAAGCACTTTCCATTAAAAGAAAGAAGCCACGAATTCTTATTTATTAGTGTACGCAGGAAATAGTTTTATCCATGGTAAGGTAGTCAAGGATTAACTCCCTACCCCACTTCATATCTGACATTGAGTTTTGTTTGTAAGCGAACGTTCCTCAATAAGATGTAAGTGTTTGAGATTCGCCGCGTCTACGTCTCAAGTCCGCTTTTACATTCACATAATGCAGGGATGATTAACTAGAGTCTTTTATCGAGTTTTATTAGTCTGAGGTCTGTTGTGGACTCTAAAGATAATTCGCGGTCAACAATGAACACGGACCTAATGATAATATTGACGGAAAAGGTCTGTACCTACGGTGAATAATTGGCGCTGCGTCTGAATGTAGATATCTGGTAAATCTTTCAATTCCCTAACGCTATAGGCATCCTAGGCCGGCTAAAAACCATTACGTGAGATTTCTAGACTGCCCTCGTTGGTGACGTGCAGTCTCCTTAAGTCCAGCGTCACTCTTAGAGCCACGCCCTTGTCGTTGTCCGAAATCCCTTACTTTGTTATTGGGCTTTCGGATGTTTCATTGGGCGGGAAATTTACTCGAATGGTTTCATCATGCTCATCAGAATCTGTCTTACAAGATGTATATTGCTCCGTCACTCAAATGGCTGACGATCAAGAGCGCTATACTATGGGATGTCCTTACTAAGATGTCTTCGATTAACCTGCGATTTCTCGCTAGTCTCAAGTGTGTATCGCGAATTCCTCCTAAGTAGCGGCAAAGATGTCGTTCTAGATGTAACACGAAGAGAGAGAAAGGTTGCTGTTTCCTGCTGCGTGAGGTGTGTGACTTATTGTTACTGTTTCGAGATGACATGGTGGATGTGTCTAGATCAGCGTCAGGATAGACCTTGACTTCGAGAAATTACTACGACTCGGGTGTTGTCGATGAGTGAGACCGTGACTTGTATGGCTTTTGATGACTCCATTTTCCAGCTTGCGCGAACGAGATAGTGGCAGGCGTAACTAGAGGCGTAAGATCTTGATGTTAGTAGATTGACGTCAGTATTCCTGATCAACACAGAACAAAACGTATCCACTTCCCGTAGACTAACAGTTTCTTGCAAAAGGTCTGTGCTAGCACGATAAAGAAGTATGGGGGGTTGAGATCGTGCCCTAGACACGTTAAATATTTCGCACTAATGTATAAATGGGTTGAGTCCAGAGTTAATAATCCTCTTTGTGATAAAGGGTGGTACCGAGATGAATTCCTGCCAAGAAAATCATGTCCCAACCGCAATCAGGACGTATCCGGGCAAACAAGACGAAATTCACTGACGTTGGGAGACGCTTAGGCGAACCCCGAAAGATTGACATGCGTTAGCGGCTGAAGCTGGAAGAATTGGTAGGCTAGCCACTAATTGTAACCCGACGGCACTAACATGGCTACCACCTCCCACGCAGATCTTGTCTGATCATCGGCACATTGTCAATTTACAATCTATAGACTCAGAATGAGATACAGCACAGAATAAACATCACAAGAAGAACAGATCTGAAGTTCCATCCACATCACAAATGACATGGGGAGCCTGCAGCGATATCATACGAAGCGTCATCCCTTCTGTGGAGAGTGATAACAACCTGTCTGTCTTTCATCACGAGCTGCGGCAACGCCATCAACTCTTCCACTCTCGGGTCATTTAGTTGTTTTAGGGTTTACACTTAACGAACAAGCATTGGAAATTCTACTTAACAATCTGCAACAGAGCAGGTAGCAATCATATCATAGGAACTTCAGGCCTTACCTTGTTCGTCACAGTATGATGGTTCGATCGCTCAAGGTCTGCTATTACCTAACCTTCCAGACCACTGTTTCAACGTCAACGCGATTGTCAACATGTATACGCCCCTCTTGTCAAGACTTTAATACTCCGATTACTGCGACCGAAATACCGCGTAGGGCACTCATCTCCTGGCCCTAGATGTCCCTGTGTCGACCGGATAAGACAAGTATAAGGACAACGAATCATCTCACCGATATCGCCTAGTGGTATTTTACCACGACCATACAATCCCCAGTGTAGGATCAATACGTGTCTACACTCATAATTAGACAAACGGCACAAGACATTCGATATCCAGGTGTGATACAATTTGCCACGGCAGGGCGACCCAATCACCGACCATAAAATACCTTCAAAACATTTCAAGACTTACCTTTGTTGTCAAATATGGTTCTTCCCAAGCGTAACAACCGACCCTTTGATATGGATGACGATATGGACAAGATCAGCGATATTGCTATAACGACGCTCATGACAAAGATGCGGAATGGTATTGCTGAGGTAGCAAAACGTACACCCATTCAGGTACTTCAAGATACCAACAACTAGCCTTTCAAGCTTGAGGTCAGGATCCTTCACTTATATTGCAATAGACTTATTGTGGCTTTGAACCAAATTCTATTTCCAGTCTCAGTCCAGTATATAGCATCATTCGCTGGTATTGGACTTCCAGATAGATCTTTATTTGAAGCCGTCAGTCCGATATTCCCGCGACTAACTTGAGGCTGTTCTGTTGAAGTCCCTCGAAACTCTATTTACTAAATACTCGGAGTTGATGGAGTAATTCTTTCCTGATGACGAAGGTTTTTTCAAACGATAACTTGTAAATGACGGGTGAATCATACATGCTGTTCTGTCCCGCCCCACCAGGAAGTTACCGTCGAACCACCTTCTTTTTCTAATTGTATAGGAGGTAAGTATGGATGCTTTATCGAAACCGTAGTCAGCGATGTATACCAGTGCCTTGTTATATGTAACAGATTTTATATCCATTAAAATCGTCTCTTCGACTGCCGAGATCTCTAGTTAAATTCTGCTATTGAGAGGACTAAATATCACATTTATTGTAGAGATTAGATATTTGCTTCCTTGTAAATGCTCACTTGATGCATCCTAGGCATACATTTCTTGAAACCCGTTGGTAGAACTAAGCAGAATCGAGACCAAGGTTTGATACGGGGATCGGATGATATTGACCCTTTGGTGGAATGCTGTATTTTCTCTATTCCATGCCCCAGTAGCAAAGGCTACTAGTCGGTACCTATAAGGAACACTACAACCCTTATGTCTGACATGTCTCTTTACGTATACTCATCATCAATCATAACTCGGACATTCTAGCTGGTAGCTCTGGTGCCGCTCACTCATGACGAGTCAGAGCATATCCCATATTTTCTCACCCAGCAGCAAGCACAGTTTCTCGCTCCATCTGAAAAACCTTTCCGCACCGCCCAACCTCATTAAGGTTCTCTAGTCCTGCAACTACATCCCCATCTTTCCCATACTCATACAAGTCAGGTTAATCTTCAGTAGATCATGTATTACACACCAGTACAGCTTTTTGCTCCAACTATTCTTTTTTGATATCCCCAGCTGCTCAATTTCTCGACTACGCCTTTCAGTCTTATCGTTTAGCCAAATCCTCTCTGTGTCAAGTCCCACAATGATAGCTTTTGCTTGTTCCAGCTCTTCTATCAGCTTAACCCTCTCAGCCCGACTGGCGTCTCCCCTGGCGGCATACCATTCTAGATTCTAATTGATGGTCTTTCGGTCCATGAAGAGGTCGCTTTCACTGGCAGCGAAGTTTTGCCGACCGGCACATGCGTGTCAATGCTGAATCTCGGCTGTTTTCAGACCCCCCTCGAGCTCCTTGACAGAGGTGGTACAGATATCCCTGCGGTCTTCAAGTGATGTCTCATCGGAGGTCATGGCTGTATGTATATCCTCGATTGCTGCGATGGAAGAGGTGTATATTATGTCGGCAATATTGTAAGCTACTTGTGCGTTGAAGACAGTTTCCTTCATAGTTCGAAGATAGGTTGGTCAAGGGGAGAAATAGATTTGTTTCTTGTGCGCCGCACCAATGTACATGCCGTGGGTTGGCAGCCGCCATTGGGAGGAAGCGCCTTTTCGGGACACGCGTCAGTATTGTGGCTCTATAGTACTGATCGGGACTTGCCTAAACTGTATCCTGAAGAAGTCCTTCGACGTTGATTCCCTAGTCAGTACTGCTGACCTCCCAAATCTCCTGGTCAACATTGTCTTCACCGCGGCAGCTTTGCTCGTTGGTATCCTGTTTGTTGTCGCTTCGCCTGCCCCAACTTTTCGCGTTATCTTCCCGCTCTAGGTCGATGTTTTGAATTTCTTTCATATCACCATCTCCAAGGACATCGTTACTGTTACTGTTAAGGTTCTAACTTGAAGGATAATCGTCTTCCAACTTGGCCGCCTGCCCCTTGGCACTCGAGGTGCTCGTCTGTCTAGGACTACGTCTAATAAGTCGAAGACGTTTCGTTGGCTTGGCCGGGTTCTTCGGCGATGTATGATGCTTTCTTTTCGGAGATACTTGAATTGTGTCTGGTACTGTTCCGAGTTCGACGATAGAGCGCAGAGTCATTTCGTTTGTGGCAAAATGCGCCTTGGCGTTGACTAGATCTTCACTTTTGGGCCAAGAGGTTGTGGCAAGCACATTGAGATGTATAGGTCTTGATTTCGTCATTTTCGTATTTCTCGACGACAGTGGGTGAGATTCTCGATGAGATTAAAGCTCCAAGACCTAGGAGCAAAACCAAGGACAAAATCCCAAGGCCATTGTTCGGCTTCTCTGTGAATGCAACGAGTGGCTTGGCTAATAAAAGACGAGTTCTTATGGGACTGGATATCGAGTATTCTGAGGATCTCCTCGTCGTTGATACCCGACTCGGCCGAAGTCTCGGGTGTGTTAACTTGTCGGGTAGAGATTGATCGGGCAACGGGGCTTGACTGGGGACTGTAAATCCACATGATGATGCTTGTTTGGGAATAAGAAAGAGGGGATGTTCGAAAGACGGTGCGAGGTTTTCCGGCTCAGTGCGTCAGTTGCCATGTGGTAGGCACCAAGTGATTGGCGGTTGCTTATTACCGCAGATCTTGGGTTGAGTCACCATAGAGCAGTGAAATTTCGAATAGATATCAAATGGAAGGTTAGGGCAGCGAAAACAAATACTATGAGCAGAGAAACATTACGATCGTGGACCGGGCTTGCGTCAACTGAACAGCGCGGCCAGTTTCACCTAGGAAGGACAGCGAAGTATGTTTCATATGCCTTGATAAGTCCCTAGAATGCTTACTGCTTTCGCTTGAGAAAGAGTTTACAGTTGTCAATATCTTTCTACCAGTTAAGGATCAGACTCTTTTTCTTTTTGTCCGACGCATTTTTCAATAAGGTGCAGGGTACCCGAGTAGAAGCTTTCGGGATGGACGGCGCTGGAACATGAGATATATTCCCATGTGTGATGATCGAAGGGGTGTGCAACTATGTGGATAGCCATACAAACAAAGTTTGCCAGCGCCGTGCTGCTGCAACGGCCGCCACTTATACGAGGTTGTTTCTAAGCTTTTGGGTGCCTTATCAACCGGCTGGCACGTCACAGGAAATGACGTTCAAGAGAATTGCTAACTTCAATAGAGCTGCAATCGTCTACGGGGTTACCTCAAGGGCCTTGGTGAATGTTACTTCTTTGAATCCAGTTTTGTTCCTCAGTGACGTGCCATACCCCCAAAACGAAGCCTTCATCTAGCGCGATCGCCTTTTGAGAGATCTTCAGCCTAAGCTTCTTCTCTCCGCCACGCGTTCAAGAGTGGCAGCTTCTGGCCTGGGCGGAGTTGGGTAAGGTTCTTTATCAAGCCATCTTGCCTTGTTGCTTATCAGCACAGCAAAGCGGGCAGCACTGAGCGATTGCTAAAGTTATATACAGCTATTACATGAGAATGTGGCGTGCCAGGCTTTGAAGAGTCTAGAGGTCATGTAGTAGCCCTGGTGAAATTATGGCTAGAAAAGGCTTACTAACGGCATTGGCTAATGATAACCGATAGACCTTACGATGGTGATGTCTTTATATCCTAACAAGGGGAAATAATTAACCGTCCGTCCTCGCTCTCCCTGCTAGATTGCCCTAAGGGATCTATGTAGAGAATTACCAGGAACTAGCAAGTTGGCATTATTCTTACGTAAAGCCGGCGTGTCCTTCATCTCGACTGTATAGAACCGAAGGAGGCCAGTGCCATAATGTAGCGTGAATTCGATAGTATAGAAGAGTCTGTTAGCATATTTACCTTAACAGGCCGTCTGGAAAATCTGCCACTTGCACTTGCTCAGGCAGCTACATACATAAGAATGAATACCATACGAGTAGGAAAGTATGTCGAACTTTGGTAGAGCTGCTCAGTAACGAAGTCGAAACTGTTGGAAGAGATTCAAAATCTCCGCAAGCTCTTGCCACGACACGAATCATATCTTGCGACCAGATCCGAAAACAGGATCCTACGGCAGCTGGGTTCCTTGAGTTGATAGCTTCCTTCGACTAGCAGGCGATTCCTTCAAAGTTCTTGAGCAACCTTTATATCGAACATCACCGGCATCAAACAGACGTCCAGAGATTTAGATAGAGTCTGAAGAGGCTCTGGAAGTTCTCGTAGCTCTTCGGTTCCTTGTTATTGAGGACCAAGGCAGTATAATTGTGCATTGGCTTGTGCAGCTGGTCACCCAACAAGTGGCTTCCAGACACAGACACGAAGAGTTCACGGCATATGCAGTTATCGTAGTACCCACATTTTACCCACGTACAAATTGTGAAATTAGCAGCCTTTGTATAGCTACCTCCCGCACGCATCTGCTGTTCTAGACAATTACAAAACAAAATTGGGCTTCTATAAAGAAGCCGAGTATGATCGAGTATATCTTGTAAACAACACCACTAGTGTATTGATATTCCAGGAGCGGTAGGAAGAGCAAAAAAAGGCACAAGTCCAAGCTACTCAACTGATTGAAGATCTGTAACGGATGAAGCACTAAAATACGTTTTGCAGTATCGCCACACTTAGACATATCTACTGGGGTCAAGATCGACGGAAAAAAGCGTGTTCACTACAGAATAAGGCGACGAAGGTAGCGGGACGGGTTCTAGGAGAGGACCACCCGACTACAAGTGATTACGCGAGTAATCTTGCAATGATCTATGCACCTCAAAGACGGTATGACAGGGCCAAAGACTTGACGGAAAGATGTTTTTAGAGAAGGCAAGAATTGCTGGGAATAGCTCACCAAGTTACGATCGGGCCTGGTATGAATCTCGCCAAATGGAAATCGATGGCTCGTCCGCCCGAATTTCCTGATATAAGTAGCAGTGATAAGCTCCAGGCTTTGGTAATGCCTGAATGATGTGGGAACAGAGGAGCTCCAGCTACCTAACCTTTTAGCATTACATATTCACCGACTTCTATTTGTGCCGTCCTGCCAGCGACTCGCTGTCGTATGTCGCTCCCGTGCTATCAAGGCTCAACACGTTTGAGAAAATAACGCTGGATATACTAGAGCAGTGAAGGTCAAGCAGAAGCAGCAGTCTTCTTCTCTCAAAGGAAGGACTATCAAGCAGATCACTCCCACTCAGAACAGACGCATGCCTGTTCATCGTGACATTTGACTCAATGGCTAGACGATAGATGGATGGATCGATAGAAGGAAAGTTGAGACGAAAGTAAGCTGGCTTGACATACATCTTCCTATCGTCTGTACTACTAGCTGGTATACCTGATACACAAATCACGTACCACTACAAGAATGCACTCGGATGTAAAACAATACCGCCACTACCAAGGACGATAAATCAGCTTCTACGAATCGTTGATAAAAGCAAATCACCAAGATATGTGTCGGCCCATGCTGAAGAGCTCGTGCAGCATCTCTGTCGAAAATAGCGGGAAGCCCATTTTGGATTCAACAAGAAGAGGAGATGTTTTTAGCAATTAAGCGGCCTAAGATGAGCCGACGTCAAGCATCTGTACCGCTATTCACGTCATCAAGATGGCGGAGGGTCTTTTTGCCATGCTGACAATACTCTTGCCAAGGCCCACGAAGATGGGCGAATCGTCGGGGCTGAAGATGAGAAAGGCTGCGTCGTCCAGGTTAAGATTGGTAGGGAATCAATCTTCTGACACATGAATAGTAGTGAGAATCCCGACTCTAAGTGTGCAAATCCTTGGCGTAAAACTGTTCCAGGTATCGGTGGGAATCATGTGCTGAAGATCAGTAATCGTTACCACTTTGTCATGAGCGGAGACCAGGCGCATGAGCAATAGTGAGATCACAATTCTAGTTTCTTTGAAGATGCCTGTTTTGTATGGTCCCAGGGGAGACTAGGTGAGTGGACAATCACTATGAAGTCGATGGTAAGGGCTACATCCATCGTCTTCGGCTTGAAGCTTCGTGAAGTTTGCTGGAAGGCCCCAGAGCCCTGATGCCTGTGTCTGGTAGTGAGAGACAAGACAGGCTTGGTTGGCAGAAATCTAGGCCACATCGCGTATGTTGCTGTGAGCGGAGGAAGTCCCAGGGGTGGGTTAAAAAGGCGGATAACAGCTTGAAAGTGACCAGGTCAAACAGGCACAATGTGTAAGGTCGCATTCCAAGAGACGGACCGTATTGTGAGCCCTTGTTTAAGGTTTACCTGCATAACGACGAGACAGTGTTATTACAAAAGCCCCTCGCAGTCAAGAAGGCAATGCCAGTTACCATGATGGAGTCAAACACAAGTTCTTGCAGCGTTAACATGGGATCCAGGGCAGCGATGCGGTCAGTGGCATGATAACATAATTACCAGAGGTGTCTAGTATGGAAAGATACTGATGTCTTGCGTCCAATCCAAGTATTCTCGGTAGCTTGTGAGTTGCGTACACCTGAGGATCAAAGAAGTGATCCAGGGCGAGTGTAGGAAATGAATGTCCGAGGACCATGGGGAGCTTCAGTGATCCCAGGGACTTCAAGGTTGACCCCTGCGGTAGTAGTCTATCTTTGTTGGCGGTCACGCTCTTCATGGTCTGTGTGCAAGATAGATTGACATGCCTGTCGACTGGCCATGCGATCAGCGTGTGCTTGACGATGTTTTCGTTTTGCTTCGATACTCAACAGTACTTCCAGGATTAGGGAACGGCCATAATATCGTCCTCTTATGCTTCGTAACGAATAGAGGCTGTCTTATTATCATCGTCGGAGGAAAGATGACAAAGCGTCAAACAGGAGGGTAACGCCCAGTAGCCACATCCAACTGTATAAGGTTGGCATCTTGACAATAAGCGACGTTGTTGCATGGCGAACCTTACGGAGATATAGTCTGATCACAGCATCATTCAGGCTGCCTGAGTCACATTAATTCACAACACAGCTGACGATCTCCTCCTATCAGGCCACAGTGGACCTAAGGTATTTGAATGATAGGACAGGAAAAGTTTAAACGTGAGACGTTTCCTGACCTAAGGTTATTAGACCTGTTGCTTGAGTCCTTAAACTGAGACTCATGGATCCAAGAGAGACTGCGTAGGCAATCATTTGTCTGGCTCGAAATCGAGTTTAAAGATTACATTCAAGCACTTCTCATTGCAGTGGGAATCCAGTAGGTGGAATTGAACGGACCGACTGGTGCTGGCCCATGAACCCGTCTTCAATGTTGATAAAGTAGTGGCTTTTTGTCATGTCTGTGTCATTTGAATGTCGAAGCTCGCGATCAAATCGCTAACTCATCATATCTGCTATCTTTAAAATGACAAAATTCTAACAGCTTTGACTTACGTGCTCATGTTGAACACGCACCATGTTTCAGTTAGGCTCTCATCTTTGGCTATAGGCATGACTAGACAAAGTTGGCAGGTAAATCTACTGCATGAAGCCTGCGGTGTTGTGGGGAAGAGTTAGTCTTGAGATTCTGAGCGATGTAGTCTCAGTAGTGACAACAGGGTTCTGAGGGTCCAACTCGCCATCATGGGCATTGTTGGCAGGCAAAATCAAGGTCAAGAATGTGGAAGTGGTCGTCAAGCACCCCGCGTAAGACATGTCTCTTTCGGCGTTCGACTTTGAGGGAACGTTGCGGCTTCTAAGAATAGTTTGGTATATGGTGTAACAGGAAGGGGCTAGCGAGTTGTGTAGATTTTGCGACAAGAGACCGGCAGACTTCAAGGAGACGACAAGATGAGGGAAGGGCATACAAGAGAGGCTTGACGTGAGTAAACAGCGAGGTTTGTAGGCAAAGAAGAGACGAATATTCCCATAGGCGGCATTTCGCTTCGACAGCTTGGAGTGTTCATGGGGAAAATGACGGTGTCACGGGGGAAAGTACTGCGCCAAGGACTGGAGAAGTAACGTTAGGTGTATTCTCGGCCTTGATAGAATGACGTGTCTTTCCTCAGGAGAACCAGGCTGTGCAGGGTCGGGCATGGCCGTGAAGGCACATTAACTTTTGCATATTTTTACCTGCGGGACCACGGTTACACGCCAATTTCCCAGCCACCCTGCAGTCGGTGTCTTTATATCACCCAGCTGATAAAGACTGGCTAAGCGTTCTTGAAGGGCCTATACCTACAAAAATAAATGTCTTCCTTCTATTTCGTACATACTTTGCATACTTCCGTCTTGAGCATAATGTTTTTCATACATCAGCTCCACGCGCTCACTTTCATCACTCAATACCCCCGAGCAAGCGAGCCTCTCGCGCAAGAACAGCTCAGGGTATGTGATCTTAAAAATAGACCTAGGACACTTCAATGACAAAGAACGCAGCTAGAGATGCCGTTCCTATTCGCGCAAAGCGTCGTTATCGTCCTGGTACTATTGCTCTCCGCGAAATTCGACGATGCCAAAGCGGCAACAAACTACTTGTTCGAAAACTGCCCTTTGTGCGACTTTTCTGTCTTTCGAAGCGTACATCCTTAGAGGTTCCGAGCTGATGGGACCGACACACTTCTTCCACTGTATTAAGATCTCCCCCCAGAACGTACAGGAAGCCTGAAATCGCCCGAAGTGTTCAAGGCTGTCAGTCACGACAGGCAGTGCCTGGTTTAGAAGACTTCTTTGCACCGGGGTTATGTCGCTTTGATATGTCGCTTGACCATGACATCTAAATCAAAGATGATCCGTCAGGGCGACATTACAAGTGCACTTACAGGACCAGCGATCATATTAAGCCGAAACACCGGCGTGCTGGTGCAGTAGCGGCACAAACGTAGTTGGCGATTACGGGGCATCGTTTGATCCCGGGAAGTTGTACCACTTGTAGCTTTCGAAGCCAGGGGTTTCCAGATTTCTATAAGAGCACGGAGAACGAAACTCTGTGATGCGTGAGAGTTGACTAAGTGAGACTGTCATCTAGGTCTATACGACGGTTCCTTGCAAGCTGGTATTTGTCAAACTTGTGTTGTGTCGCAGTTGAGGCGTATAGCCTCATGTTGAACGTCGACAGTCCTGTCCGCTGTCGATATGTATGGTACCACAGCCGAACAAACTCAGGCTGGTCTTACATTGGTGTCTTGTTCGTGTTATCCTTTGTCTCTTCGCCTTGATTGTCGTCGCAATCGCCAGATGGTCGATATCAGCTTCGGGCTGTTCTGGACAATATCGGGATGTGCTAGGGCATCTGGTATCTGCCCTTAGACTACCGCTCGCGTGCTTTTAAGTTCATGATATAGAGGAACTCGATCAGCTTGTATAAATAGGTTCTCAGGTGGTGAAACGTAACTGGACCAAGGGGCTCGCATTGTTTCCATACCTGATTGTCAAGTCAACCGTCCACAAGGTGACACCTCCATGACATCTTCAGTGCGTAGCCGCAGAAGGGTTGCAAAGTCTGATATCTGGCTGATTTCGGTGATAGAATGGAATGGCGTGCAGTACTAGTTCGATGAACGTATTAACTGACATTGATGTTGAGGTTCACATCGACCAGTAGTGGTCGAAAGGGGGTTAGTACGTTCTCGAGCCAGGTTTGAGACTTGAAGAGCCACGGCTGGATGCCTCTACCCCGTTGGCCTTGCAGGAAGTCATTTTTGGGGAAGACTACAAGTGTTGGTAAGTCTACCAGTCGGCACAATCCCCACCTGCGAAAATCTCCAAGGCCGTAGAGCGTGATGGTGTCTAAGGGAAAGGCTCTCTCTATACTGCATCTTGCCGAGTCATATCATCGAGATGGCATGACAAAGTTATTCCTTATGCGTGGCCGACAGTAACTTTAGGTATCGCCATCGCGATGTGATTGAGGGGGGACATCAACGAGAATTATGCTGATAGGAAAGTCAATGGCCTGAGACCGTTTCGTCTAGAAGAATTGGGAAAAGGCTGTATGGAAGAGGTAATATGGAAGAAACAGGATACTTGGGGCGTCTTGAGATGGCTTTGCTTGGCTTTTCCAATCTGTGGGAGGTTGCTTTGGCAAGGTTCGTAATATGGAAGATCGTCGGTATACATCGGGACTGACTTGTGCTGAGACTGAGGCCTGAGCAGTGATTAGCAATGATATTGGAATCAAAGGTTAGGATATCGTCTCCGCTGTACCTACAACCCCCTTCTATGATAGTAGTCCACCTTGACCAGGTTTAGCTTCTTGAATGTTGATGCCTGTTGCAGCTCAATGTCACCTCTCTAAACTTGCATCGCGGTGGTTGTCGACACCACCCACTCGGTATCAGGCCCCATACGACCTTGGAGGCAACGTCTTGGAGGGAAGGTAGAGACCGGCCGGCCATGATTCAGATTTCGTGGAGGTCGAAATTGGCGGAATGGAAGCAAGAGGCGGATCGAGTAGGCTGAGTGCGTGTGGTGCAGCTGTTCGCTTGAAAGTTTCCCCTGTCCATCATCGTCTGTATCCCAGGTTTCTCTTCCATGCTCAACTTATCATCTGCGTTAGATCCCAATTCTTGCCGAGCGGACTGAGGCATCGGTCGGTATTCAAGAGATGGCAGCGAATGAATTCGCGGTTGGGTTGAATCTGAGGGTCGTGAAGAGTGCTATATGCTCTTGAAACACGATAGTTGAGATATTGCCGTGGGAGGGCGGTCTGAGCAGGTAAGATGAGTAACTTGAGGAGGACTGCCGGTAGTGGTAAAGGTACGTCCATGCGCTTGAGGGGGATTACTGTTATGGGTGGTTCCTACAAGAAGGATTTTAGAGGAGAGCAAGGTATTAAAACTGTACGGGTAGGAAAGTGTAGTGTTAAGTAGGAAACGATTATAATAAGAATAGTAAGCAATAATATAATAAGAAAGAGATAGACAATTTATCGTTCTCAATAATTAATATACTTTACGGCTATAACTACGCTATAATCTTGTCGTGTCTCTGACGTGTTGTTTATTTGTCGTACGAAGTATTATTTGTTTGTCGTACGAAATCTTATTTGTTAGTCGTACGAAATCTCATTTATATCTCCTAACTTATTAGTTACATCTCCAGGCATTATACATCGCACAACAGGTTTCTACCCTATCCCAAGCCTAGTATTATAAAGCCTGAAGTAAAAACCACACCTAGTTTTAATACTCTTTTAGTACTTTACTTATCTAGATCTCTTATTCTTTTTCACTCCGAGTTATCCCTCCCTTTTTATTTGCTTAACTTACTGTTACGCTATGTTATGGCCCTTACGTTTCTATACAGCGAGTATGTCTGCCTTCCTTATCTGGCCTCTTCTACCTTCTCAATTTCGTCATTCGACTCACACAAACTACCAGCTCACACCTTCTATTCCTTCGTCGCGCCCTCCTATCGATGTGCAGCCGCACCTTTGTTCCCGACTCGACCTTTCTGTATCGCGCGCCTCACGCTCGACGTCGCCTATGAGCAACACTAGGCTGCCGACCTGTGGATCCAGGGGAACACCATAGCTCCAACCGGATTGCGCTTAATGTTGCACCTTGACTCTACCAGGGCAGAGATTGATACTGTGCCTCAAATCTCATATACCCGCGGCCCGGGGATTACAGTGAGTTTATGGCGTGCTGGATGAGCAGACCGGCTGGGAACTGACCGGAACCGCGAGGGCCTGGCGGCGAGAAAACCTGTAAGGCCGTAAGCTTATTCCTGTCGTGGGTGGCATTCTGTCCATCACCTACTTCATTGCATACTTGTATCCGCCATCTTCTCAACCCACGATACCAGACACATTGCTATCCAGTTTCCAGCGAACGATACCATCCAGATTAACCTCGACACAATCAATTTCAGTTTACCCGTCTCGATCTCTTCTACCGTCCTTCATTAGTGACGCCTGTCCGTTTACCTGCAGGATCTGCTTCATCGATCAAGGACCGCAACTTTATATCAGCTCATTCGGCTTGATAAGTCTGTCTACAGAACGCTACCAGCGAACAGAATTTTCTCACACACAGGGATTTGGTATGATAATGGAAAACTCTCAGGATCAGAGAGGAACCCAGAGTCTTCGCTCGACACATTACAAAAACAAGGCGTTTCCGCGTACCCGAGGTGTAAGAACTTAGTCTAAGCCTCAAAGTGTAAGGCCATTCCTACGACAGTAGACAACCATCATCTGTGTTGTTCAATAGTGAGGCACCTAATCTAGTACCGCATGAGTTATTGCAGGCTGTCGTGCAATCAGCTACGCCAACTTCGAAACTTAGAAGAAATATGGTCGATTATTTTGCTCTTTATCCGGCTTGAGCGTACTTATAGAAGACGGCCACAGATTCTCGAGCAGATGATTTACTGACCTTTCCCAGTCCTCTCTTCTCCTTTAACCTCTTAGCCTCACCGAGCGAATTCTTGAAAACGTCCACTATAATGCACTTCTTTATAGGCCCATCGATATTTATCAGAGGGACCTCGGCTTCTCGTACGACGCCTTCCAGCGCTTCTTGCTGAGACCTTCAGCAGTTTCATTGGTAAAAGGTTCAAAGCATGTCAAGTCAGGGTCGAAGTTTTGCATAATTCTCTTTGTGTCTTTCATGTCATTGCATTATCTATTGTAAGCTAGAGTTAGTAAACAGAGTCAGATTTATCGGCATCTAGGTTCTAGAGGAATCTCATAGGCTTACGTTCGATATTGATAACCTTTTAACCGTACGTAGCTTATCCAATCAAAACTGCTTCTGTTTTCTTCACTTCTACTTCGTACCACTTTTATCGCCAAAGCCTTCTAGATAAATCGAACGACCATTTTGCCGTTACCTTGGATAATTATCACTGAGATGCACATTGGCCCGTATTCGATGCTTGCAGAGATGGTAGACTTGTAGGGCACCTGAGTGACTTGCGAATTGTCAATCTTTCGTCAAACAGTGAACTGTGGAGTCACCTGGGAATGACAAAACAGATCCCTACAATACTGGTACCGCCAATCGGGCTCCTGAATGGCAAGAATGGATTCCTGAGAACGCGAGACGTTATAGGTTTCAAGGGTAAACTACTTCTTGACCAACTCAGTGAGCTCACTACATGCGACACTCCAGCCCACAGACGAAACGAGGAGTTTCCTACGAGTCTAAAACCTTTAGGCTTAAGCATATCGACATGATGTACTGCCTCTCTGATCTGAAGCCTTGGGAGAGTGCGAAATGGGCTCCTCCACGGCTTGTCTGCGTTACGTGTGAATGGCATCTTGTTATAATCTCAAAACATTGATAGAAAGATCGCGGGTCAAGTTGCGACGCCCAAGATCCTTTGAGACTTTCGCATTTTCCAACACTTGCCTTAACGGATTTGATACGCATCCGTGTTCACGTTACTTCGAGTTGTTTCCATCGAGAGACTTGGGTGTAGGGATATGGACGGCACGATGATCACTTCACGAATAGTTGACAGTATAGCAACCCTAATATTCTAGACTACTCCGACCCCCGTCAGAAGTGAAAGAGAAGGCAAGGAAAGCAAAGGATAAATAGAGAAAGGCGGAGCGGCGGAAGGAGGTCCATGAAGAGCAGCGTGGGCACCGAGATAG